GATGCCTACTAAGAGCTAACTTATAATAGTGTGCAATAGACTTACCTCCACATGGTGCACCCTGGGTAACGTATATTCATACGGCAAAAAAGTCTCTCACTTCAAACTGCAATCACCTCACTCTATGCCATATTCGACTATTTCCACAGTATTCACCTCACCTTTCTTTTAACTTTGTGTTTGTCTCTTTCGTCTTTGAAACACTCTTCTGTCCCCCCCCCCTCTCGACTTTTTTCAATTTAATGTTCCTTCCCTCTGTGAAGCCTGAATTCAACTAAAGGACTAATGATAACCATCAAAATGTCTGCCATTTGATATAAATAAATAAATAAACAGTTGCATTTTTCTTGGAATTGCAGCGTTATATAAGTGATGACTACTAAGAGCTAACTTATAATAGTATCGAACAAGACCAGATCAAGCGTTACACGTTGACAGTCCACTCAAAACTCCTGTGAACGAAAACCCAGGACGATTCAAGAAGTACCACCGTCAGCTTTCTAATAAGTTGACAGAATGCATGGTTCAAAGTCTGCCAGGTCCTAAAAAGCTCTTGCTCTACCTCTCTCCCCCCCCCCTTCCCCTCATGGCCTCTCACCTCAACTTTGAATACTTACTTAGAGTCACCATTTGTCAACCACCCTACCAACTTTTGCACCCGACTTGGTCTCGTTTCTTCTTATTTCAGCAGGACTCAGCCACATTGACTTAATTTGGACGATGATCATAATGCAGGAGTAGGCTAATACCTTATCCGGAATCTTCTCTCAGTCAAAACAGCACTATCTCTTCAAGCCTTGTCTATTTCATTCTGCACATTTCTCCCAAATAAAATGCCTACTTTAAAAGCTAAATACCAAGCTTGAAGTGACGTAAGGCATGATGAAAATGGTTTTCCATTAAGAAAGCACTAACGATCTTGCAGTGAGTAAGTTTGAATGACTGCTCTGCTCATCATATAAGCACTGACGATATTTAACGAGTTAGACGCCCACACATACTTCATCGTATTATTATTATTGTCCATAGTAATAGAAGGGGCTGAAAGATACCCGTTGGCAAACGTCAGGTTATCAGAGTCTCATTTCATTCGAATTCCAAATTCGGGTTGAAGAGTATTTTCCAAATTGGTAGTTCTCAAGTTCCGAAATTCAAATTCATGGATTGCAATGTGCCTGTCTACAATGTTAATTAACAGGAGCCAAAGCAACTATGCCCTATGATTACCATCTCATTACCAAATATGGTCATTGCAATCCTTTAATTGAAATGCCATTACTAACCACCATTATAGGCAGATCATTTATTTAATTTTAATGGCGATAATAACAATTACTGAAGTGAACAATTAGAAACGTGAAACATAAAGAATAATGGGAATGGGTCATTTTAATCAAACCTTCCCTCCCCCCTATAAAGAGTATTACTTTTCAGATGGCTTAGTAACTGTGGTTCTTGAGAGGCACCAAGAGTAGACTTGAAATGAGTGCAGCCGATCCGCGTTTTGAAGGATTGCTCAAACAATTAGGAGAAAAGGGTTCAATGTTCTGAGTCACATTTGCATGTGGGTGGGGGGGGGGGGGGAATGCATAAAACAAATTAGTAATCGTGGGGAATAATTAGGGAAATCACAGAGTGAAGCCCGAATACCTACTGAGAGATATGTATAAGTAGGCTCAACGGAATCCTGGAGGACATCTTTGTGAGCCTCAAATAAATGGGTCAAGAAAATAGGAGATGAAATTAATTTAGATTTTAGGAATTTAATAACACACACAACATGGACTTTGTTCAGCTTTATTGAAACATTAGATGATATATACATATATAAGTACATTTTAACAAGAGCACGTTCACACGTTAACATTTCTAAAATCTGCCTCTAAAAAGTACTTTAAATGCTTATCTGATAAGCTTCAGTACATTAACTTCTATCGCAACATTATTTTCACTAGTTTTAGGATACAATTTTTTGTTTTCCATTATTTTCTGGAGGTCTACAGGCAACGACAAAAGATGCAGAACTGTTATTTATCATCGGAATACTGAATCGTCCCATTTTGTTGATCAACATGCACGTCATTCCCTACCACCTGACAATATTTTGTTATAAAACTGTTATAACTTTGGTTATGTATTGATCTCTAAATATTATTAATGTGGAGACGATTTGTATTCACATACTAATCCATTGTTCAGTAAATGAAGCGTCATAGAGTTATGACTTTCCATCTCATCCTTCTCTTTCATTGTCTGAGTCACCAGCATAGACTGGATTTCCTAACAATGAGCCACCATAGAGGAGTTTCAATCCTCAAAATGTGATGCTTCCATTGATCAAATCCTCTTCAAACCCCAAAATAAATCCGGAAAGCTACTTCGCCCTCTCGCTTCATCAGCATCCAACCTTATCAAATAGATAAGGAGCTTTAAATAAATTTATGTCTGTAATAAAGTTCAGTTCAGTTCAACTGTTATTTCGTTGTGAAAAAAATCGATAATACATTCTAATTAAATTATCTGAGTACTATGCCACCACGATGAACTAAAAATAAGCGATATCAAGAAACATTAAAATAAAGTTTGAAAATTTATTTCTTCCCATTTACCTAGGTTGCTTGTATAAAACACTTATAGCCCTCATGGCAAACATGGGATAACATAAAATTACCTAATTTTGACACGATAGGACCATTTCAAGGCCACCCAGAATATTTAGATTATTTAAGTTACTGCTAGAACACCTAAACTAGTTTCGCACAGCGCGCATCAGTGCTTTCGTAAGTAAATATTTACCACTAAAGAGATTTATGGCACTTTAAGACCACTTAAGACGAAATTCATAAGCGTAAGCCTATTGTTTAAATTCATTATTTCTGCTTAAGTTTGTTCTACTTTCATCTTCTCTCATTACTTTAAATTGTATGCCAAATAAATTACTCGTTCTCAATCTTCTTTTCATTATTCCAAATTCTTGCACAAATATCCGTTCGAAATGAGAATTCCTCTTTTTGCTACATTCAATGCTCAGCAAAATTAATTCGCAAATAGGTTATCCGAGTTATGAGACTGTTATAATCATCAAAACAATGAAATATTAATATTACTTAGTATTTGTAACGGTGAATATAATTAAACCTGTCCGCTAATAAATAATTAAAACGCTTACATTTAAACAAAATTTCCAATCGTGTTCGAATTTCACTTATTTAACAGGAATTGCGTGTAGATTAACATCATCATGGATAAGATTGGCTTTGGAGGGGAAACACGAAAGAAAATGCCTGAAGTGCCACAGAACGGTGAAGTCCCTTATCCAAATATGGAACCCATTCCTGTTCCAACTGAGGCAGTATCTTTCTATCCTCTTCACAACAAAGTTGCAGTTTCGTCGGAACCAAATAGGGCCTATCCGGAAATGGATGACAATCGGATCGATCCTGCCAAACGGCTGCCCACATTCTAATACTTTTAAATGACTTGTTTATTGAAATAAATACATAGTTTTTCATATGTCCATTTTTTTGCAGTTATTCGACGGTTGTTTCGTACTTGTAGTAGGTGTCTGCTTAATAAACAACAACTTTATTTCAAGAAGACTTGCTACCAAAATAAACTTTTACATTTGCTCTAATTGCTTGCAGTTGATATTATTAATGATTGACATAATTAAATGATCTCAATCAAATTTTCATTGTTATTAGATAAGAAAATGAAGCCAGTAATAATGCATCATGGGGTCCTTAATTTCAATTTAATCTACATGCAAAGTAGATTTTCATGTCTCGTTTATTACTCTATCCTGTTTGTTTAAAACAACCAAGGTAGTCATGGAAAAAGGTTTGTAAGAATCAAGGGATTTGAAAAAAAAGCTTAGGATAGAATAGATATATATTGGGTTAACTACTGTACTCACCGGCTTTACGAACACAGCTACCAATTGATTGAAGAGGTGCAGATTTCAATACACATTTGTCATGTCAGGAGGCACCAGTAGACCGTATTCTACAGAGCTGGTGAGTGGTGAAGAAAGAGTTTTGAATTTCATCAACTGAAATCGGCCATCTCTCTACCAAGTCAATGTACTCAAGCCTATGCATTCGCTTGTTGTAGAGTCCTAACGTCTGGCTGTTACAGACGATGTGCAGTAAATGAACTTAATTTCGTCTGTACCATAAAATTATTAGTAGTAGTTTATTGATTTCAAAAAAAAACAACTCGAATAGTATTTTATCATCTTCCAGAAACAAAAGGACATTTTCCTTCTATTATGCTAATATAAACAGATATTCTGAGAACCAAACCAAAATCAGGCTAAAGGTTTCACATATCTAAAACTTCATCAAAAGTAAGCTTATTAGCTCAGTTTAAAATAAAATGCCGTGTGAGAAGCAGCACACTTAGAAACTGCACATATGAGCACGTGAAAGGTCAAATTGGCTTAATAATTTGTTGAAGTTTAAATCAAATTATTAATCTTTCCAAACGGATCCAATCACATGTACTTAGTCAGCGAATGAAATGAAATAAGATTTTCTCTCCCAAAACTAACCAGTTCTTCTGATGAGGGCTGAAAAGTTTTACTAATTATTCATTTGAACGACCTCATTTTTAAACAAGGAGATTTAAATACGTCAAATTTTACTGTAACTTACATTAGCAGATTCTTAAAACTTTATTGTTGGGTCTGGTAATATATTTGCAAGATATCATGGGAGTTTAGCTTTATATTTAAATATGTCCTTTAAAGGTATGGAGCAGGTCAGACACACGTAAATAGCTTGAGAAACCAAACTATTTTTTATCTAAGATACTGTTAACCCCATGTAGGGGCATCATTTCGTCGTTCTGATATTTGTTGAGCAATCCCACAAGAATGGTGTTTTAGGCATGGAAGTCTGGACCACTTTGTCAAACAAATTAGATACTACACTTAACTATTGACAATCCAACTTTAGATTATATATTTCAAACTGAATTAGGAGTATGGAATTCTCTATACCACAATTTCTATGCTTTTAACAGCATTAGCCCTAATTAAAACCATTCACCTTGATTTCATGAGGTGAGAAATGTTGAAAGTGACATTTTTTCTTTTGAAGTAGCTCAGGTTCGAATAAATAAAGGGTTTAAATATTAGTCATTGAAAGAAATATTTTAACATTACTCATTTAACTCAATAAACAAACCTGTGAAGGAATCTATTGCAGATTTCCCATTTAGTCATTGATTTTAGTTCAAAATTACGTCAAACTGGCGCATTTACCCGAACTACTTAAATTGTATCAGTAACACTTTGTTATTTACTTTTGAAATTTAATGTCTGAGTAAGAGAGAACTTTTAAAAATGCGGAATAGTAAAGCAGTTCAATAGGGGAATAAGTCGAAACGATCGTTTTGAAAACAAGAGAGTAAATTCCGAGCCTTATACCATTTGGGTGGAGGATATATGAAGTTGTGTTTTTATCTATTCATCAATACTACAATTTAATCTTTAGATCCCTGAGAGTCCCCATGGTCATAATTTCCAAGGTTGTTAGTAGATAGAAATGTTTGTTCAAGGCACTACAATATGTCTTCTTATATCCAAGAGAGTTCAAATTATGTTAACTAGACACGGTAGTTATCTTCTTAAAAACTGTTAGTAAACGTCATCTCCTTCCATAATTGCAGCCAAAATCCATTTAATTTGATCTCTGATAAACACCAAATAATTAAGTACACTTCCTGATCATATAGATTGCCTAAAGCTGAAACGTGTGAAGTGCACAACGCTGCCAAGGCTGATCATTCGCGTTGGAATATTCTAGAAACCCCACAACCAATCAGCAAATCGAATTTACTCGAAGGAGATTTGCATCGATTTTGTTTAGTGGCTAATCGTGCGGGCAATCTGTACAACATAAACTGTTCCAAACGGCATTCACTTCTTGCCGACTTTTCTTCATTCCTATTGAAGCACCAAAGCTAATTTTTGAGTCAATTTCATATCTGGGGATTTCGTCATAGAGATCGTTAGGGTTTTGTCAAGGCTTATTTGTGAGGCGACAGCCACAGAATAGTTTGCTATTCTATTTGTTTCCAAAGAAGTTTATTTATTCATTGATATCAAGTTGTAGTCTTTATGATAGTTATCATTAGCCCTTTAGTTTACCTCAGGCTTCACAGAGGGGAGGAGGAACATCAAAGTGAAAAAAGTCGAGAGGGGGGGGGGATGGAAGAGTGTTTCAAAGATGTAAAAGAGACAAAGACAGAGGATAGGTAAGGTGAATACGGTGGAAGTGGTGGAGTATAACATTCAGTGGGGTCATGATAGTTTGAAGTCAGAAGTCAACTGCGGGTTTATAGACTTTTTTACCGCATGAGTATACGTTGCCCAGGGTGCACTACGTATGAAGTATTTTGCTCACGCATTTTTCTATAGCTTATTTTTCCATTTTACTTCCATAATATTTACCTACTAGACCCAACAAAATAATTAGAATTCAGTTAAATTTCTTTTCCTTTAAATATGTAGCTACCCACATTCGACAGAACGGTAACCAATCCCTTCATCTAAATATTTTCTTCAAAATACCCCATGTTTTTGTTTTGGTCAAATAATTTTGACAACAGAAATTTATACTCTCGAAGTGTTGCTCATCCTCAAACCAATATTTAAATTACTTTAAACTTTTTTTCAAGTATGCTCTTGCAATGGCGGTTTGACCGCGCTTAACGTGAACTGTATTTCAAAATTCCATTTAATGATAATTACTTTCATAATTTAGAAATGGGGCGTGCGTGGTGCATCCCGGACAATGTTTACTCATGCGGCAAAAAGCCTATAAATCGACAGTTGACTTCAGACTTCAAATTACTATGATACCACTGTATGTCATATTCAACCATTTCCACAATTTTCATCTTATCTTTTCCATACCTTTGTGTCTGTCTGTCTGTCTATTTTACATCTGTGAATCACTCTTCTGTTCCCCTTCTCCACTTTTTCACACTTTGATTTTCCTTCCCCTCTGTGAAGCCCGAAGTCTGCTAATGGGGCTAATGATAACCATCAAAACACCTGCCATTTGAAATAAATAAATAATTAATTAATTGAGAGATCATTTTCACAGTTATTTTGCTACTTTTGGCGAGGCGAATAGGTATCCATTAATATCGTCTGAGCAGCAGCCAGTCATTTACAACCGCTAAAGCCATTTTAACCAATTTAAATGAATGTGGTGCGTAATTCGTCCAAATATTTCTTCTTGAACAAATGATTCTATTAAGCTAGCTCCACTCTTATTCATATTAATTAAAATTTAAGTATTATATTTGGGTAGTTGGGAAATATTTCAAGACTTAAACAAGTTAATCACAACGTAACAATAGATTTTTTGTTAAATTAACATGTTCCTATAATTTCTCAACCCCCATGAGTCATGTCATAGTACCTGCTTTGCAGTGCATCATTTCACTTTTTTTACATCGATCTATCCAGGGTGTCCCAAAAAATGTATTCACACTTAAAATTATTGCTAACAGTGTTTATTTTTATTTCGAATGTGTAAAAATATTTACAAATGTCATTTTATTGTCTTTTTTATTACATTTTACTACATTCTAAACAATTGTAAATTGTCCATAACACAAAACAGTTTGTGTTTTTATTGTTTATTTTTTCAAGAAAGATGGTGCGGAGTGACGAGGTCACATTCAAGTCTAATGGCTACATTAACCGACATAATTGTACTTGAGAATCCACACGTTACTGTCGACCGTCATGTCAATTTACCTAGAATTGCAGTGTGATGCGGTTTATCTTCAAGAGGATTAACTGGACCACTCTTTTTTGACTCCACTGTAATCGGTCCCACCTACTTGAACTTTCTACAGCAGCCTGTTTTGCCAAACATCAGGGTAGACTTTGAAGATGAAGATTTTTATTTTCAGCATGTTGGGGCACTCCCACATTGCCATCGCGATGTTAGTCTTGCCTTGATGAGGTCTTGCCAAACAGGTTGATTGAAAGAAGAGGTTTGGTTGAATATCCGCCCCGTTCACCAGACCTCACACCATATTTTTTCTTACTTAAAAGACGAAGTCTATGTTTCGAAGCCTGAAACAACCATTGAATTAAGTGAAGCCATTGAGCATGAATGCGTCCAAAGCCCATGGGGATTATTTCACGATGTGGGCGATTCCATTTACTTGGCGTTGTCAGCAGTATCTGGACTAAAATGGACGTCAGTTTGAGAATTTGTAGTGAAAAACAATAAAATTGTACTTGTAAAATATTTTTACGCTTTTGAAATAATAGAATTTTTATTGGACGCCACAATTACAGTTAGCTTCAATGGATATACGTTTTTGAGGCACCCTGTATTTGTACCCACATATTTGCAATCTTATTTGGCAGTTACGTTTGGGATCCGCCTTGAACATTGAATGATTAGTCGATTATTTGAAAATTCTTGTCGACATGCTCTCTAATCCGCCCCAGTTGAAATAACTCATGATGTAGAGCGGAGTACTATTCGCATGATGAAACTGTAAACACCAAGCAATTACGAAATCAGTAAACTCATCAACTCCAGCACGGTAGCACACGCCAACGCGCTCGTACTTGGGTTAAGTTTGCACCAATGGGAAGCCAGCATGTGAGATATGCGTCCCTTTGCGTACCTTGAAAAGGCAGGCAATTGTGGCTAGATTTCCAGGTTCCACGCATCTCAGAAGCTTTATGGCCTTACACCTATGCCATTTATCTTATTTATATCCCATTATATATTATCTCCACATTTCCGACACTTTACTTAGACCACATAAGCTCCATTTAAACGGATTTTGAATGGAAATAATTTTAACTATCGATAAATTGCGTTTCCTTCTATTGGCAAATGAGTAACTTTAGCACCTCTAAGGTTTGAAGATATTGAAGATCATGTCCGCTTCAATCACAAGAGCAAATAATTAACAAGGCGATTTTTTTAGGAAAGCAATATATTTTATACAAAATGCATGATTGGTACAATCTTCAACAAAAGAGGCGGAAATCAGATGGAAGCGCATTCAACTTATGTACAGGAGGCGGAGTTGTGTGTCTTCAAGAGGATCCGATTGCAGCCAACACTGAGAATGAATAAGCCAAAGGCGGAAAGACTCAAAGTGAAACCAAAACACCTAAGAGAGAGGAAGAGCGCAGAATGAGGAAGCTCTGTGGGACAAATTGGGGAGAGGGTTTTTCGATAAGTCTCCCGTAGATGTGGGTAGGGAAAGAGTTGATCGAGAATTCGATGGACCATTGGAATCACATAGCGTTCAACTGAGGAGTGAGAATTGATGTAGATTTCTGCCGTGTTGTTTGTGAACTGTGCTATCAGTTCAGGATTGGTTTTATTGCCAAGATATAGGATTATCTTATCCCCAACATCTATAAGTGGACTCAGGAGTTTTAAAATCACCTTATTTTTTTCAATCACCTTCAAAGCCTGGGCGATCTGATCGAATTTTAATTGATACTGAGCTATTAAATCCCCAATGGTCGTGAAATAGGTGGCGAGTTGTTCTGCCTCCTTCGAACCATGACTAGAAACCGCCCTTAATGCCAGACCAATCTTCGTGTAATAGTCCTCGGCCGGCTCAGGAAGGTATTCGGTAACATTTCCGACGTAGAGTTCATCGAAAGTCTGGTCTAGTTTAACGGCCGTCCTGAATTGCGAGAAAGTTTTCGAGAGTGGAACTCGAGGTATCTGGTAGGAAATATTTGCTTTTTCCATCAGAGGCCACACCTCTTTGTACCAAAGATCATAAAGGGTTTTGTTCAACCAATGAGAATGCCAAAGTGCTGTCAAATTCATTGGACGATTCATATGGACGGATTGAAGCAACGGAAGGGATTTTGATGTGTAATTTGAGTCCAAGGTACTAAAGACCCTCTCAGGAATTCGAAACTGAATGTTTTCTATTTCAAGTACTTCTATGAGATCATCAACAAGGGGAAGAACTGTCGACATTAGGTGATTCAACCAGATGTCTGCAGATTGTGGTCGAACGAAAAGAACATCACACAGTTGGTTCTGGCCAATACTACCAACTGTCCCGCAGACAACACCGATAATGCAGAGAAAGGTAGAGACCATGGCGAAGGACTGATGATAGCAAGTTGACATTTTTCCACCTGCATTATCCTTACCCAATCGATTAGGTCTTGTCAAGCAGCAGAAACAACAGTTTGAGTTGAACAGAATGGTTATTATAGTGAGTAAAAGAAGAATCGAGAGAATTATCGCTAGAACAATCGGAAAGACAGAGACCATGCTTAGATACTTCCTGACTGAACTCTCGGCCCACTGTTTTGGTAGACTATCAAGACTCCGGTTCAGCCTTGCTCTATCTTTATCGATCTCGGAAATCAGAAATTCGTCAAAGAGGAATGGAATGTTTCCCGTAGGATCTTGTGCCAGAGGAACCCACCTCTCAACATGAGCTTCGGCATTCAACATTCGAGGAAGGAGAGTAAAAGCAGTGACCTTCGTAAAATCTCGGCTCTTCACATACCTTGGCCAGGCTTCTAGTTTATTAGCAACCATCTCAAGATATGACTCCACATCATTGCAAGTTGGAAATAAGTTGGTACTGCGCGCACACAGAGCGACGGACGTGAAGTTAAGGATTTGTATGTCTTTCCAAGAAGTGAGTTTAAATAGAGGGTGAGGTGTCAACCGAACGAGTTCATGAGTATAGGAAAGATATACATCATTGACTGATTTTACATTAACCTCACTGAGGAACGGTGCCACAGAGAAAAGAGAAGAAAGACGACGGAGGAATGTGTTGAAATGCAGAAGATTAGACCGCGTGTTCTCTCGTAACCACTTTTTACTCGGAGTGATATTCAGAGCCATTGCGTATAATCGCATAGCTTCATCTCCCCAAATTAGTTTCATCTCTTCAATGAACGGTCGAAGATTGCTATTGTGGTTACTTTGTGCCAAATCCTCTTTAAGTACACGATTCATGATGGAATAACTCTCGCTAACAAAGACGTTTGCTAGGTCCTTGAAAGACTGGGATACGTTCTCAATATGTTCCGTTAAACCGATTAGTGTATGTTCAATCTGCTGTGCGAGGAAGCAGGTGTACGTCGTTCCAACTAGCAGAGCAATGACGACAGACACTGTTAAACCCACGCAGAAAATGTTGATCGGATAGCTCCGATAAGAACTGGAGAGATAAATGGGTGATCCATCAGTGCGATCCTTCTCATCTAAAGAAGGCCTCGACGGCCGAAGAGATTCAAGCACAATTGGAGTATCGGCAGCAGGAGTGGTTGCCAACATGGTACCTTTAGGCGTGAGATAAGTTAGAACATGTACCAAGAAAGACCTGTGGATTGGTTTAACAATATCACCCATCAGAGACATTCGCTGGTGCAAATCTTCATCTTCCGACAAAACTGGCCTTGAGAACTTTCGCCGGCGGAAAATGCTAAGATCGGAGAGAAGGAAGACAGCAAAAACGACGAGGGCAATGGAGAGTATACACAGGAGGAGAATGAGATCCAATTGCGATAGTGAGCAATGAGTGGAAATGCGCCGCCAATCCAAACCATCCGCATGATAGGCTGCAAACTCCACTACCCCACCCGAACAACCAGGTGGCGACACGTTCATTAACGTGAGGACTAAAAATAGAAACTTGAAAAGTGAGCAGGAACGATTCATCAGGGCGGTTATATAACCACCTTTCATCCTATTTTATTATCGTGTCTCCTCACTGAAGTTAGTCATTAAAAGTGACCTATTATGGTCCGATTATGGCCAATTAGAAGTTAGTGCTAAAATCAGCATACGACATTCAAGAGTTCAGATAAATTGAAGTGAATGTAAAACATGCACCCACGAATGGAGTTCAATGTGCTTTTGCAGCTCCCAGAATTTTATCAAATGAAATTGCCCATTTTTTAACGAAAGAAATAGAAGATTTTCGTTAGGCGGGTCATAATATAATTATGAAGCTTTTTGTCATTAGGCATAGGCATTAAAAATTGAAATCTCAAATGAATCGGAGGCCAATTAATTCCACAAAGCTTCAATTTTACGTTAATTTAATTAAATGGAAAAAATATGAATATTTTACCCAAAATCTCATTTCAAGATGGTACCAACCGCAATAAAACTGAATGAAGTGTTCTCACACTTTCACCTTGGGTAGAGAAGTGACAACGTGGCAAAGTTCTTATGAAAAGTAGCTTTTAGTTACTAGGTATGAATATTAACCGCTAAGCCACCATCAAGAATTTGACGTTTTATTCAAGAGCTTCACGTTCTCCCTCCTCCCCCCCCCCCCCCCCACATTTAGCCAAATCCGCCCAATGAAAGTCAACTAGCTCGCATGATAATTGAATACTAAGCAGAAAAACATACATCATTAAATTTAATTAAGAAGCATTTATATGCCTAAGGAGCACAAGTACGTACTTAATTGTACTAATTCTATCATCTTTGCACTAAATGCGAGTCTGCGAATTTATTGATTAGAAGTTAGAAGTAAGTTGCCAAGAGAAGAGGAAGAAGAATGTGTTCATAAAAGAAATTGGATAAACAAGAGAAATCATAGTACTGAACTAAATTAATTTAAAGAAAATTAAAGGACAAATGCTATTGCCTCAAATACAATCGGAAGCAATGAAAGAACTTGTTTTCTAATATTCGTTTCAAAGGAGTAAGTTTCAAACCGTCACAGATGACACTCTCCGTAAGGTAATCAAATGCTCAAAATTCGGTTGCTTGTAAGGTCCGTTGGTTTGGTAATTAGAAGGAGAAATAAGGTTGACTCGGGATAACGATTAAATGGGGAAATAGAAAAAATGCCATTCCAACTGTAGAAAATCAATACCCCCCCCCCAAGTCAAACCAATGAGATAGAGACATTAATTATTGAGATCTGAAGGTCTCTGTACTTTTACGTGCCTGAATATTACCATTAAACTCGGCCCTTTCATCAATAAATGTGGCATTAAAAGCTTAACACCTCCTTGCTCGAATTCAAATGAATAAACGCGCCATACTGCCCGATCATATGAAACAGAAAAGGAATTGAATCAAATTGGAAATGTCAACATTATGGAAAGGCTCAGATGGCCCTAAATAGAATATGGACGCAATTCCTCCCAGCATCAAAATGGGGACAGTTAGCTCACTTCCGTTCGCTTTAAATAGGTTGCGACATATGCTGGGCATTTGGCTAATTCCCAATCGCGTGAAACAGAAACACGATTGAAACAGGTGACTGATGGTGGGGGTGGG